CTTTTTATTACATTTTTTTCAAACGCGCGTTTGGAAAATAAATATTTTTAATTTTAATTCAGTATCTGTCATTAAATACTATTTTTAATTAAGGTTTTTGTGATTACAAAATAAAAAAAATTATTCAAATGTTAATTAACTTATTTTTTAATTCATTAATTGCAACTCTGGGCTATTTATTTAAAATTGATGTTTTAAACGCAACTGTCAAATTTATGCATCACGATGATTGTGATTGTGGACAGAGTAAAAGTCGTCGGTATTTTTGTGTTTAAATAAAGCTCGCAACATAAATGGAGATGAAGCTTATATCTTAATAAATAACTTAACGAAATGTAAATGAAAAATTAAAAAATATGAGTAAATAAATAATTATATAAAAAAACTGAAACAAATGCTAGAAATTTAAGACGAAAAAGCATGCTTACATAGTTTTTTTTAAATTCTTTTATTAAATTTGTATAATTTTCTTTCGATTTTTAGTTGAATAACGAAACCAAACGTAAGTTCAGTCCAATTTTGCTGTGATTACCACAATAACCGAAATAAATGCAAATTAATGGCTGTCGTAGTCGGTAAATTTTTCATGTTCCGCTGCTGCTAACTGTTGTTGTTGCCACTGACGCCTCGTAACAAGTTATTATTTTCTGTATTGTTTTAATGCTTAATGTTGTTTTAGTTTTACATTTTTATCACGATTTCTTTCTTTACAGTTTCATGGAACACCCTTCGCCGGCGCTACACTATTCCGCATAGCATGAAATATTTTTCGACAGTCAAATTTCCCAAAAGAAGCGTTCGATATCTTGTGTGCTTACTTAGCAATGGTTTGAGTATTGTTTGTGAATGAGCGGTCAGTTGTAATTAGCTGTCCTATGAAATGTCAACTCATGGAAAATCTTTAAACAAAATTGACTTGTCTGCATTTCGCTGTTTGCATTTTTGGTGACAACACTCAGTCCAATCAATTAATATTTATGCATAGTATATGTTCCATTAATAAAATAAAGTAAACAGAAATAGATCACAACATAGGTATGAACAAATTTCAAGCGCATAAAATCATGAGCATACATAAAATGAAGCAAAACTTTTGTATTCTATGCAATATTAGTTTAGATGTTATTGTATGTTTGACAGTTTGTTGTTCCTATGTTGTCAATGTGCATATGTTTTTTAAATTCTTGGGTGAATGGACAAGTGAAAGCAGATATAGATGTGATATATAAGTAAATCTTTGTATGTATGTGTATGTTTATATGCCTCTACGAAGTCAGTTTATTTCGCATGCGTGTGTTTTGAATGATTATTTCTAGATTTCGTTTTCTTCTGTTGTTCTTTTCGTTTGTTTGTTCTGTTGCTGTCTGAGTTCGGTGTATTTTAATGGATAATGAGCAATTGATATGCGTTCGCATTCATTTTCATTTGATTACAGTTCTCTAAGTGTTATGGTGTTTTTGGAATTTTTAGGTTTTTGTATTTTGAAGGTTTGTTGTCGTTTTTTTTTTTTTTTTTTATATGACTTTTATTCTTTCTTTCAATTTTGGCTGTCCCTAGTGGTAGTAGTAGATGTAGTAGTGGCAAGTTCTCTCGCTAACCGTCTTCTTGCTCTGCTCTGTACTGACGACAACTGCTGATGTTTCAGATTCGTTGGCGGCTCGAATTGATAGCGTTGACGTTCTCGCAATAAACGTTCCTGCTCTTGGCGCGCTTTTAGCTCGACGATATTACGTATGCGTGTCGAATTGCGTACTTGAAGTAGTCTGTGAATGGAAAGAAATGGAAAAAATATATAGAAATAATTTGCATACGCATGTAATTTTATATTTACATACATTAACAATACTTTTTAAATTCTAGATTTTTCGATTTATGTTTAATTTTCGCGACAATATAGCTTTAATCTCTTATTTTCCAGGCCGAATTTCATAAAAATATGTAAAATAAAAAGATTTTCTTATATCGACTTCTTTTTGATCATTCAGATGGCAGCTATGTATATACTCTAGGCGATTCTGACAAATAAAGAACGTTTGCAAAATTTCAGAACGATAACTTGAAAATGGAGGGACTAATTGGCCTACATGCAGACAGACAAACGGACATTGTTAAATCGGCCCAGTTTAGGGTGTAAAAATAAAATCTATATATATTTAAATGACATTGAACTCTTTTTAAATCATTCAAATAAGAAATTTTTACAGAGTAGTAGCCGCACAGTTGACAGTTTGTACCTAGATATATTTATTTAATTTAAAAAAACTATTAACATTAATAGTTTATAATAGTTTATAATTTTAAAAAACTATTAGTTTAAAAAAACTATTAAATAACTATTAAAAAAACTATTAAATAAATATTAGTAGCAACTATAAAATCAGCGCTCTTATTTTTGCAAAGTGGGTATATGGTTTTAAATTTGTACAACATTTACTTACTTTCTACGTCTCAAACGTTCTCGTTCGCGAAACAGTTGCGGCAATTTCGGCAGAAAATTCTCATCTAATATCTGATATAATTCACGCTCTTTTGCATTTGTTGAAGATTTGAACTTGCTGGCTAAATTTTGCCAATCCTCTTCGGTAAAACAAATTACTTGCCAAATGGCACCTTTAGCGCTTTCGCTTCCCTTGCCATTCAGTGATGTGGTCGTTGATTTACTACCACCAATACCACTGTAACTATTCAAAGACGATGCTGGCTTATCCTCGCGATATAATCGCGTGCCATAGAAATACCAATAGCCGGAATTTTTCGAATCGTATCCGAGCGGTTCAACACGCAAGCTATCCGCTTCCAAATTACTTAGTATAACTTGTACGTCGCAAGAGTCGAGACGAAAGTGGCATAAATCGTGTAGTATTTGTAAACGTTTGCGCACCGGCAGTGACTGAAAGTCAATGTCCGTATCAAAGTGGTTTTCGGTATTGTGTATGCGACACTGTTGGCGTAGAAAACGCCTTAAGAACATTTGATAATTGCTATGGGTTATTTCTTTTGCAACCGACTTTAGTGCATCGCATCCCTTTAATAAACGCACAATTAACTCGGGAACAAGCGCAATTTGGTCTTCATCCGTACCATCCGACAACAGCGCCGACTCAAGATCCTGTAATAAAATTTACAGTTTACAGTTGCATGTAATCAGTATGCTAAACACACAATACAACCTACCTCGATATCGATGTCGGGCAAGTCAAAAGCGGAACTAAACAATGAACAAAAATGAGATATGCACGGTATCTCCCACCATGATTGAATGTCTGTAAGACATAAATATACATTTCAGTGATTCGAAAACTTTTATAAAAGGCAAAATGTACACTCACCCAATAGCCCGATAAAAGTAGAAACCATTTATATATTACTTCACGCTTTTTTAAACAATTAATTAGCTATTTTAATGATTCCTTGAGTTTTGTTCCGATGTTAAAATTTTCTTGTTTGTTTGTATGTTAAGCTGTTGTTACAATTATTGCTTCGGTTACTTAAATATTATCTGCTTTCGTATAACATCCTTATGTGAGTAAGTTCAAGGCATTTTGTTTGCTCATTAGAAAACCACTTTACGAAAACAAACTAGGTATATATGCTATGTATGTACATGTAACACCTGCAAGGAGAATGTTGTCACTTGCAAATTGCTTATTTGTCATATCCATACAATATTCAAAATAAAGAAATACGCTTCATGCAATAACTCGAAGTAATTCTGCTTATCGATATGATACATAGCAGTAAATTATAAAAAACTGTAAATTCTGTGCGTAAAAAGTTGACATTAACATATTTCCGCTCTTAATTCATAATACGCAAGTGTTTTTTTTTTTCTTTTTTTTTTAACGGACAAACCAAATTTATAAGAAAAATAAAATAAATTAATTGTTTATATCTTATTAATAAAAGAAATATTTTGAAGCACAATTTCTTGATGTTAAGAAATATTTTTAAGGAATATTTGTCAACTTTAAATACAAGGTTATTGCACCGCACAGCTAATCCACAGCACAGTATTGCGGGGAAACAGGCGCCAAAATTGACATGAAGCTCCACAACTGGCAACTAAAAGCACATACCTACATGTATATGTATGTAGTTTATATAGAAGCTTAGTGTATGAAGGAATAAAAAAATAAATTAGTGTCGAATTACCGGTAACTCAGGTAGGTAACTAGAAGAAAGAAAACGTAAGTATGTATTGCACAACCTAAGTGCCATCCTCAAACATATAACTAATTATTTTAAGTTATTTGTATATAAGGATCTCAAAAAAGTTGACAAATTATTTGCGCTTTCTTTACAAACATAATAACAACGAAAGTGATAGTTATAAAGAATCAAAAACATATGTGCGAAAATATCTATTTTTGAAAATCCATCTGTTTATTACAGTTTATTAAAAGATATGAGAACGTTCATATATTTATATATGTATGTAATTACTTATTTAGAACTTTATGCGAGTAACATTTGTGGCTATAGCGGACATATGTATGTATGTATGTCGAGAAATCTCGCTTTAAAAGCAATCCAAATAAAAGTGCAAACAAATATTAGAAGCACGAACTCCTGAGTGTTACTAATTGCTTTCCATGCTCTCTACACGTTGCTGCAGCGAATTAGACTGTCGGAATTCCGGTGCCAGCTTTCTTTAATCAGCCGTGCAATATTTTCCATTTGAATTTCAGGTTAATCAAAATTCCCTACTTCATCACATACATGCATGTATGTATGTATGTACACATGTGATATGTATGTAAAAAGTTTGGCGCGCATATTGCACTAAAAGTCAAGCACCTTAATAATACACCCACCCAAAATCATTACATATGCTGCACCAAAATAAAGCAATCGGAAATCAAAACAAAATACGATTAGAAGGAACAAACAATCATCTACTTTCTTCGACGCCGACGTCAACACACTTTACGTTATTGTAATCGCCGACGACGTCGCCGTTGTTGCCGCTTACATCGCCCTAGTGATTTCCGATGTGTTGAATTGTTTTGATTATGAAAATGCGGACACAATACCGCCAATAGAGACAGCTAATTATATTATGCTTGCTGATGCAAAAATGAGTACGTTGGAGACTCTACAGCGCCAAAGATACATTAGCCGTGCTACTCATTACTTACATCTTTTTATAAAATAAAAAAACAACAAACAGAGCGACAGCTTGCAAAGCTTTATCAACATACGTGCGAAGGAAATGACTAATGCCACCTGCCCAATGATATGTATGCTTTTCCGTTTCCTTTATGTCGGTGAGATTGATGTCAAAACGTTTGCATGCAGTAGAAAAAGGTATACGTGAAATTCTTCTAATGCGGCCATAAGAAAAATTATTACTTTGTGAATTCCCGCAAAATAAGCTAAAATCTATGAAAATGCACTCTATATACATAATAGACAAATAAAGCTACTCTGGAATAGTATGTTGTATGATATTGAGCGTGTCTGTTTGGACTAGCTGAAGGCGCGCAATCAGAATTTATTTACTCAAGACACGCATATATGAATGAATGTAGAAATGTATATACATTCACGTAAATGTAATATATGTATATATTAGCGGAGCAAAGCCGAATGATAGATCTCTAGTGCACGAAGTGAAACCATTGGGAGCATTGTAGTGCGCAAATTGAGCATTTTCATGAATACGCGTATAAACCAACAACTACAATACATTAAATACACACCTCCCGCCCATTTAAGAAATACATAATTCTATTTTCACGCTGTTTTGACACTTCTCTGCCTCCTAAGCATAATTTTATTTCATGCAAAGAACATAACAACCCTTTTTCGATAAAAAAAAATTTAAAAAATAAAATTTAAACATAATTCGTGTATATTATTTTTGCCTACCTCCACCGCCGACACTTAGTGCAAACAGTTGTTGCACCACTGCGATTTTAATTTTTAATTATAATTTAATTTTTTTAATCGCAGTTTTGTTTTATCTAAAAATATAGATACATTACGTTTTATTTCACTTGTATTCGTTTTCGTCTTCTACATTTTACTTCATTATTTCTTTATATTCTTTCTTGGTCAATAAATCATGTAGAAAGATTGTGAAAATTTTTTAGTTCCATCTTTACATTGGTTCTTATGTTTGTGTACGTGTTCATTTGTGTATGTGTGCTTGCGTGCGTTGAGCTCTTTCGTTTCCGATTCTAATTTTTAGCAATTTTATACATTTTTTAACTTTTCACTTTATATTTTCATTTCCAGACGAGAGGTATTTTAATGATATTCTACCAATAACACGATTTTAAGGCGTTTGCTTATTTTATCTTCACTTGATACTTCTTTTAAATTTTCACTTCACAATTTTTTCACATTACACATACACACGGTAAAACACTTTCCTAATTCTTTACTTTTACCACAAAAGAGCACTACCGAATACGTTCAACGCACGAAATAAACTGAACAAAATTTATCCTACTGTGCCTTACCACACGGCAATCAAACGAAACAGGATGGCTAGAATAAAAGTACATATTTCCGCTTCTGTCACACACCGTCAAAAGAGATGCCTTTACATACTTTGGCGTGGAAATGTTTCTTGTAAAAGGGGAATAACAATATACTTGAGATGTTGAGTTGATTTTCGGTGTTAACATTTTTTTAAATAATGCTTAGAGCGCCCGAATAATGTAATAGTACTGATTATTTATTAAAAAAATACTAAATAAACTAGAATAAGTTGGTAGAAAAATGCGGATTAATTATTATTTAAATGGGATATTGCATATACATTCATTAATTATGGATCCCTACTAAATGGATATCACTATTAATTATGAATAAATATTTTAATAACATTCAGTTAATTTCGTTGTAATATTTAATTATTTTTCTGACGCATATTTGGAAACATTTTCCTTTTCTTTAAGTGATACACATAATATTTCCACTGATTTAAAGCTGACATTATTTTAATGAAAAAAGTATGAGTAAATCCTTTCGGATTTTTAACAATAATTAAAATCGTATTAAGGATATAAAGTTAAATAAATATTTATTATGACTAATGAGCTGTTAAGCATTTATATTCATATATTGTTTTGCTATCGTGGATTAAAGACCGTTTCTGTAGCCAATATAAATTTCTTAACAGTTAGCCTGTAGAGCATGGGACAAAAAGAGGCAATCAATTAAAAGGAAATCCTTTGAAAAGCTAAAAATACTTTTTACGGAAATAAAAATATTGTCAAATACAAATATTCATGCTTTGATTCAAGATTTTTCTAATTATGTAACATGAGAATGAAAATTTCTGCCGAAATTTGAAAATCCCTTACTTATGTATATGTAATGGATATGAACCGAATAAGAATGTGCTAAAAGAAAGTCGAACGAAACTAACAATATTTAAAATTGGAAAATATAAAACGAAATATTGTGTAGAGTAAAAAAAAAATTTTTTAAATTATTTATTTCGAAGAGAAATAATTATAAATAATCGTTCCAATTATAGATAGAAAGGCTGGCTGTCAAGGCCTTCAGCTTATAGAGTAAAATTATTAAGGGCATTTGTCATTCAGATTGTAATTTATAATTAAATATTGCAATATGGAGCTATCGAATAAATTAAATCCTCTAAAAGAAAAAAAGGTTGAGTCAGCTATATGAAAAAATTGGCTAAGATTTTATAAGTTGATCGCAGACTGGAAAACTTTTCCTATTACATTCCCTTTGCCATTCTCATATTACTTACAAAATTCATAGATAAATTATTATTAATGTGCGATGGTTTTAATGTTTCTATCTCCGAAGTAAAATTCTGAATATATGAAGCAAAATTACTGTAAAAGACATTTAAAGACGTTAATTTATTAACCAATTTTCAAATTGTTTTGAAATCCAACTCGAATTGGCATAACCGTAGTTTTTTACTAGCTATTTTTGGTATTATATCCTTTTGACAGTTGAAAAATCTCACAACTCACCTTAATTTTTATAACTACTTTGCCGCTATTTTTATTTGATAGTTGAATTTCTTATTTGAATGACGCACGTTTCAGAACGCATTCCAGCAACTGACAGTTGGATTTCATGCCAATTCGTTTTCAAAACAATGCGAATGTCAAGCACAAGGCGAAGCAAGCAAATAACAATCGGTTTTCGGGAAATTGTCTGCTGCCATCGCCGACGGTGGGCGACGACCAATGTTTCCCTTCTGTGTTTGGGTGTTTCAATTCATTCGGAACTGTCGCGCTGTACGGACGTAAAATACGAACGCGGAAACGGATACGCGGACCAATACATACAGAATACATAATTTTTTTCTTTCTTTCAAAAAAAAGAAAATACTTTAGAAATAACTTTCTTTCGGGACGGTCGAAACAACAAACCGCAAACTTATTTCAATTAGAAAAACCAACAAGTTTTTCATAAAAGAAGAGTGAATTTATATTTTGAATACGCATTTATATGAGAAGTGTGTGATGATTCAGTGAAAAGTAGACTTTGCAAAGTGCAGAATAGGAGTGAAAAAAGTAGAAGTGGCTGCAGTGGTAGAAGTTGCAAAAGAAGAAGCAAAAATCGAATTGTGGCGAAACGAAACGAGTGTAGTGTTAAAGCAGCAGATAAAACATATGTAAAAGTTAAAACTTAAACCAGTTATATGAAAACCGACTGTTTTTCAAGCCAAACTCAACTAAACAATTTAGTAAAAACAATAACAAACAATACAACCAACCGGCCGACCAACTCTACTTGATGCGACACCATCATTCATTTCAAATGGTAAATGAAAGTGCTATTCTATTAAAGTGAAATGCGTATACTGAAAAGGAAAATTAAAATACAAAGCAGTATTGTATATAATTAGCATATTATAGGTGTTATGAGCAACTCCAATTAGAATTGTATATACATGTGCACAAATACATATATAAAGTTGCAAAAATTAGTAGGGAGTTCGGTGAAAAATATGTAGAGATTACATAAACACAAATCTTAAGAGAATTGACACTTGCACATACATGCATACATACAGATCGTAAGCAGGTGTGCATTTATACACGTATTATTATTATAGGGGTATGAATAAATAAGCATATTCAAAACCGTTCGCAGTAATGTTGCAACAAAAAGCTTGAGTATACACAAATTTATTATGCCTGACATATGAGTGAGTTTGTGGAGAAGCGTGTCTACAAGGGCCAGAATTATTAATGGGTAGCGCAGAGGCTTTGAGAGCTGTGTTATTGTTGTGGTCTAGTCTGGTGAAGAATGCAAGCACATGCCTACATAGCAAAATTGGTATAAGAGATGCGCAATTTTTCTCAGAAACAAGTTGTATGTACGCATGTATAGAGGTAAACCCGAAAGGGGCGCAAGGGAGTAGTTAGCGAAGCAAGTACACACCGCAAGCATATTCAGATTTATGGTAGAATTGAATGCAGTGTTAACCACAACGTTGAAAGTGGATATGTTGGAGACAAACAAAGCTAAAGTTTGACATCAGAGTTTTATGCTCAAGGACGGTGAACACTTTCAAACGCTGCTTATATTACGACACATACGACAAGTCCGAAAAAAAATGAAAGCGGAAGAAAAGTTCAGTTAGCAGGTGGTTTAGTTGGCTTTATATTTAAAAAAAAACTATTTTTTTTACCGCAAAAAAATACATGTAATTAAGGAGCGGCTGACGCAATCACGAACGTTGAATTTGAGACGTGTGTATTAGTCGTGAGTTTGTTTTACAAACAAGGATTACAACACATTGTTGTAGGCACGATTTTTCTCCATATCCACTAAACGCCCACTTTTTAGGTTATGTCATTCGAAATGGCAATTAAATGAATTGACTATGTTTGTAGAATGAATTGCAAATTGCTTGTTGTGCTTTAGAATGTTAAGTTAAATGTCTATATTTAACTTTTATTCAAAGCTCGAAGTTTTACTTGTACCTTAATCTCAAATTTTATATTTATGTTTCTCAAAAATATTAAAAAATTCTAGTGAGAAGATACGCTGAAAAAGCATTGTTTTACTGATAGAACATTAACATTAATCTTCAATAGCCTTTTCGAACAACTTTAACATTGCATTTAATTTTTTTTTTCGCAAATACTTTTTAATTTTTTCATTCGTGATAATTTTTTACAACATTTATATGTCATATATTCTTGTGAAAATGAGGAATTCCAACTTCACTATTTTCGTTTTCCAATACTCAGTATTGCCGTGCCGATTTATCGCTAAAACAAAATTTATATATGGATGGTATGCAACCCACCAAAAATTTCTGGAAAGCTGTTGATAACGCGGCTAACACGAAGCATTTGCTTCCATTTACCTTTACGAAACTAGGACTTTTAATACAATTAATTTGATATACCGAACCTCAAATAGATTGCTGTGATTAAAAGGCACTAGACTTCCATATCCTGAAGGTAGACTGTGGGCTGTTTTTCGTTCGTTTTTCTTTTTGGACGCCTTAATTCTAACGAGGACATCAACCAGCTACCTCAAATCGTAATCCTTAATTCGTTTGCCATGGTCGTCATCAAAAGGGGGTCTGTCATCCGAGGCTTGTTGTACTTTTTCATTCAAATTATGACAACAGATACCGTATTTGACATTTTGTTAGAAGATCTCTTAAATATACTACTGTGTGTAGTTACGCTTCATACTTACATACATACAACAGAGTCTAGCATATTGATAGAAATTTTTAATTGGTATAATCATTGATACATTAAATTTTGTATTCGTATAGGCATCTACAATATTAATATACATATGTATGTACACATAGTGGCATTAAGTATCAACACACATGCATTAGAGTAGCAAAAACTGTGATTAAAAACATCAAGAGAAATTGAAAGCAGATGTTAATAATACATAGAGAAACTGATAAGTAGAAACACAACCCAAACAAAAGAGAAGGCGGGCCGAAGCCAGAGGAAAAATGACTGCAAATGACGACAAGGACCACTAAGAAATAATTACAAAGATTTGTAGCAATTTTCTTTCGTGCAAATAAAATGCATGCATATGCATATAAATACATGTGTAAGTGTGTTAATACAAGAAAAAACGCAAATAAAGAGCATAAAAGTAGAAAGCAGTGGGTTGCCGGTGGTGCAGCCCAGCTCATGGCGTGTGTGGTAACTTCCGCAATGACGTTTGGAAAAATCAATATCAGCTGTCACTTGCACTGTTACCATAACTGTTACTGTAAGCTGGAATTAATGGAAAAATGCAATGCAGAGTAATCATTAAGTCACTTGCATGGCAAACAAATCAGTTCGGATACTTGTTTTTATACATATAATGCTATGTACATATAATATAAATAAGTATGCATGTACATAAATACTCATGTTTGCATAGTTCGAAGAGAAAAAGTGAGTGAATTTAACGTTAGATAACAATAAAGTGCATCC